TGGACCCATACTCTTCAACGTCTTTATTAATGATATGGACACTAGTGTCAGAAGCAGACTGGCCAAGTTTGCCAATGGCACCAAACTTTGGGGTAGAGTATCCACACCTGAGGATAGGCTGGTGATCAGGGCTGACCTTGATAGGCTTAGAAAATGGGCAGATAAAAGCCTGATGACATTCAATACAGATAAATGCAAGGTACTCCACCTCGCTGGGGAAAAAAAAACGCATCACGATTATAGGCTTGGCAGTGCACCATAGCCGAAAGGGACTTTGGGGTTATGACTGACCACAAGATGAACATGAGCCACCAATGTGATGTTCCAGCTGGTAAAGTGAACAAAACTCTGGCTTGCATCCATAGATGTTTCTCAAGCAAATCTCAGAATGTCATCCTTCCGCTGTACTTAGCCTTGGTGAGGCCACAGCTGGAGTACTGCATCCAATTTTGGGCTCCACAATTCAAGAAGGATGTGGAGAGGCTTTACAGTCCAGAGGAGAGCCACGCACATGATCAGAGGGCATGAGAACAGGCCTTATGAAGAGAGGCTAAGAGTCATGGGACTCTTCAGCCTGAAAAAATGCAGGCTCAGGGGTGACCTGATGGCAGCCCTATAAGTATATAAGGGGTGGGCATCAGGATCTGGGGGAACGCCTGTTCACCAGGGCACCCCAAGGGATGCCAAGGTCCAATAGACAAACTCCTCCAAGACCGTTTTAGGTTGGACATAAGGACAAACTTATATACTGTCCGAGCCCCCAAGGCCTGGAATAGACTCCCTCCAGAGGTGGTGCAAGCACCTACTCTGCACACTTTTAAGAAACGTTTGGACACTTATCTTGCTGAGATCCTTTGACCCTACCTGACTTCCTGCCCCTGGGCAGGGGGCCAGACTCAGTGAAATTCCGAGGTCCCTTCCAGCCGTAATGTCTATGAAATCTATGAAAATCTATTAAATCAGGCACCACATGCACTGGATCCAGCATGGAGAAGATGTGCTAGAGTGGGTGCTACATGCAGCAGTCCTGGAGCAGCCAGAGCAGATGCTGTATTCAGTGCAGTCCTGGAGTGGCCGGTTTGGGACTGTGCTATTTGCAGCACCCACTCATTGGAAGCACTGTGTATGGATGTGGCACCTACTCTGCCTGCTGCGGCGGTATGCACTGGATCCATCATGAAGCGGATGCTCACTGGAACAGGCACCACATGCAGCATGGCTCCAGAGTGACCAGTCCAGGGCACATGCTGGATCTGACATGCAGGACTGATCTGTGGCCCTGAGCCAACCCATGGACTGGCCCCATGTCACTCTTCTGGCCCACAGGACCAGACAAATTTGCCACCCCTGATCTAAATGGGCAAGATGGAAAAGTCATTCTTGTCTCTCCCACAGAAAGAGAAAAATGGGGTTACTGAAACAGACACAACCTCACTGCCTGCAGTGGAAGTTGTTCAGCATATTCAGTGATGTAATGAGCTAATTTTAGAGAGGAAAAGTCCTACACTGGATTAACCTCATAGACATTTTTAGCTTATGAATGAGTAAGGAGAGGTATGTTCCCAGCTGAAACCACTGAAGTATGTGAATGACATCACCAGCATGCCTTTGATAGAAGGGGTTTGTTCAGAGCTCAGGCATCTCTGAGTTATTTGCTATGCTGCTTATGTCTGACTCATGGAACCATGCCATGTTGCACTGACTGTCTCCTCCTAAAGCTATTGCACATGCATCTTTGTTTCTCTAGAAAATCTGTTACTTAATCATAAAACTATTACTGTCTGCCAAACTTTTGAGAGAAAAACAACTGTCATAATTCAAAAGCCTTTGAGAGGATTTTAACTGCATGTAGTTTGATCCAGAAACAGTCTAACTGTTTAGTTAAATGACTGAGCCTCATGAGAACTAGGGCACAAGATCAGAAATATAGAGCTGGTGAATATCAAATGTAGCCTTGCTGCTACTCTGTCTGTATGAAAGGTTCACACAGCTCAGACATTCATGCAATCCCTTTCACACATACTCAAGCAAAGTCAGGAGAAGCACACAGTATAGGGGCTTTATTATTATTTGTTTAGGCTTTCTCCCTTTCAGTACATGCTCTAAATCTAACACAACATTCGATTTTTTTAATAGTGACAGGATTTCCAAATGGCCAGGAAAACTGGCTCCAGGACTGTGTTTTTTCTTGCTGGGAGAAAAATGAGTTCAAGGTAGCAAGCTAGCTTTATCTCACTGCAGTGTCCAAGTGCTGCCTTCACTCCCACTAGTGATGCAGACTAACTGGAAAAGTAAAGTCCATGCAAAAAGCCAGAGATGGAAGTTCCAAATCCAAAAAGTCAGCTCTTTATCAAAAACCTCTAGCCAGTCTGCTTCCACTCACACTATTTCAATTGCCTCTTAGTTGCAAGAATTCCTCTGCATATCACCTGCCCTTGGTGACTTTGCAACAAGCAAAAACATCTGAAATCAGATGTCAGTGATGCTCTCTCTTAACACAGCACAATCATGGCAATCCCTTGTAATCAAGGATAACTGTCTTCCATGACTGCCTTATCCGTGGGTCCAGAGATGGCTGACAAAGCCAAACTGGGATCAACGTGTTCTATTGCAACTTGGGCATGTGCAGGGCGGGTGGCTCTGGATTCTTGGTTCAGTCAGTGATACGCTGTTCCTGTTGCTCCCACTTTTCCATCTCCTGTTGTCATTGTGAGATTTCAAAGTACTGAGATCCTTGCAGTAAACTCTTCCTTTATTTGGGCAGACCTGGGTGACAGTCACCTATGAGCTGATGTCGATGTTGCATTTTTTCAAGTTGGCCTTGAGGACATCCTTAAAGGGCTTTCTCTTCCCACCCTTTGAGCATACACCTTGACTGAGCTAGGAGAATAATTTGGGAGTCTGAAGTCAGACATCCAGATGTGGCTGGCCCAGCAAAGTTGATATCAGATGATCATTGCCTTGATCATCATCTCAACACAAGCATGACAATTGAATCAGGCTATCAATAAATTGTGCTTGATAAAGGATTGACATAGGATTGGTACACTGGAATTAAGAAAATCAATTCTTTCTTCCTTTTAATCTTGTGGGGCATGGTGGTAGAACAGTTCAGACATCTTGCTATGGCTCTAGTTAGGCCGCAGCTGGAGTACTGTGTCCAGTTCTGGGCGCTGCACTTCAGCAGGGATGTGGACAGCATTGAGAGGGTCCAAATGAGGGCCACTCGCATGATCCGGGGACAGCAGGGCAGACCCTATGAGGAGAGGCTACGGGACCTGAACCTGTTCAGCCTTCAGAGAAGGCTGAGAGGGGACCTGGTGGCCATCTATAAACTTACTAGGGGGGACCAGTGGGGAATGGGAGAGACCTTGTTCCCCCGAGCGCCTCCCGGAGTAACAAGGAATAACGGCCATAAGTTGTTAGAGAGTAGGTTCAGACTAGGCATTAGAAGGCACTACTTCACAGTCAGGGCAGCTAGGATCTGGAACCAACTTCCAAGGGAAGTAGTGCTGGCTCCTACCTTGGAGGTCTTTAAGAGGAGGATTAAAGATTACCTAGCTGGGGTCATTTGAGCCCAGTTTTCTCTCCTGCCCAGGGCAGGGGATTGGACTAGAAGATCTGCAAGGTCCCTTCCGACTCTACATCTATGAATCTATGAATTCATGCCCTGTTCTAGATCTGCATCAAACGCTGCCCACAGGTGGTCCAGCTATAAATGGGTATCGGTCATTCAGACACAGGAATCAAAGGCAGCTTGATGCGATGCTGGTTATTTGCTCCCTTCCTTGTGTGCCAGTGGCTAAGAAACTGGTATTCCTTATTAGAAGGAAAGGCTAAGCTGGCATATTATTTAGGCTAGGGTTTGGTAACTGAAAATCCACAGGCTGGATCCAGCCTGCAAAGCCCAAATACTGGTGGCATCTCAGAAGAGCAATAATTATGTATGAAAACCAGACCCAAGAGCCATAACTCAGAAAAAAATGTGGACTGAGATTTTTCAAGAAAATCAGCAAATGGAAAACATGCCTAAGCCTAGAACCAGACATCACCTTTGTGCCAACATAAACATTTTTATGGAAGCACGAAGGCAAGCAAACAGATGTCCATGCCCCTTGCTACATTGCAAATGTTCAAAATGTGGGGCCATGACAGGTGGTATGATTCTATACTACTATTTTACAGCAGATCTCTGTTATGCTTTAAGGTGGGAGAACACAGGCAGCCCAGAGCTGCCTGCATTCTCCAGCCTCCCCAGGCAGGCACTCCTGGGGCTTTCGGGGCCCAAAGCTGAGCACCTCAGGAATTCCCATTCCTGGGGCACACCCAGAGTGCTGTCTCACAGGATCAGGCTTCAGCTCCTGGGAGTAGCAGGGGCCTGACCCTGTGGGACAATAGGCAATGTCAATGAAGTGAGACAGCTATGCCGGGACACATCCTGGTACAGCTGATCCGCTTCACTTGATGACATCTGTTTATACCCTAAATCTCTCTGACTACTTTGAAAATCACAACCATGGCCTTAAGCTGTGAAGAAGATAAGCAGAGCTCCAATGTTTCAGAAATTACTGCACAGAAACTGAGTGATTTCTTCTCTGTTGCTTTTGGCTCCCAGGCGTATGTATTCCTGATATAAGTTCTAACACAATTTGGAAACATGGTGTCAGGATGAGTGAAATTCTGTGTCCCACAGGAACTGCAACACTGGCAGCAGCGGTGTAACCTTTGCTTCTGTTACCTACTGCTGAAGGGAGTTCAGTTTTCATGGCCTGTTTTATCCAAACTGATCCCACCAGTGATCTCTATTGTTCTTATTTGTATTTTATTTTTAGGAGCTGGACATGTGCTCTGAGGAAATGGACTGATACCTTCAACTTAGCTAAGAATGTGGAAATCCCTTTTGATCTGGGCCAAATCTGAACCTGTGAGCTAGAGGGTGAATCACTCCATACTCCATGCCACACACAGCCTATTTGAGAGGACTGCTAATTCCTACTTACTGCCATGTATGGTCTGCACCCAGCATCTCTTGTTTTGGCAATGGAGTCGACGAGCTGTCCACTAATGCCAAAGTCACAAAGTTTAATATTCCCATTTCTGTCCAGAAGAATATTGGAAGGTTTAATATCTGTGAAAGAGAGAAATTTAAATAGGTACATAATGGCTGAAGGCTTCCACTCCAAAAGTCAGTATTGTTGCATAGTAAGAGACATCAGAAATCAGTGCCAAAATTCAATACTGTGTTACCTCTGAAGTATGTGCAATCAGTAGCAGGGGACCCAGAGAGATGCCTCTACCTACAGGATCATGTGGGGTGCTCTGCAGACCTGATTTTCCTTTTATATCCACCACTGGAAAGCTTTTCCAGTTTTTCAATTTTTATAAAAATATGAGGGTTCTGCCCACAGATGTCTAAAATATTCCCTACAAACATCTCCTGACAAAGAATGCCTTACATTTGAAAGCTTATCTAATTTTGGATCAACTGTGTGGGTGGGATAATAAAAGATATCACTCACAAAAATCATTGCCTCTCATGAAATAGTCCATGAAATTTGGAATTGATCAGATGTGTTTCAGAGCTGGTGTGTTACAGACAGGGAGCATAGACTTGTCTTTCAGCAGTATGTAGAGTTTCTCTCTTCTTGCCTATCTAACACACATCAGAAAACCTATCAGAGGCAAGCAGCAGGTGGTTCTTACCCCAATGTAGCCAGCTAAAGTCATTGCTATACCCCCTCCAAAGCGGTGGTTTGCTACATATCACTAGCACAGTGGTTGCTTGTAAAATTCAAAGCTAAAAAGGCATGTCAAAATTGAGGCTTCTTCCATTCTGTTAGTAACACATTAATTAACAGTCTCACTTAGCTGCTCAATGCCTAAGTAAAAATCCTCATCAACTGCAATTCAGCTGGCAAAAATTTAGCATTTAAGCAAATAAAAAATGAAATGAAACCTTTAAAACATTAGAAATCCTGAATATACAGAATTTAAGAATTCTTAACAGCTCACCAACCCTGACAATTCAAGTGTGTCATGACACAATTAGTAACTCAGACAATAATAACTCTGTTTCCACAGCACCATACAAAGACGACAGAGAAACCACAGCAACCTGATCTATTCATTACACCGGCTGCTCTCATCAGAGACAATCATTAAAATGTTTAAAAGTGACTACACAGAATCAGCCATATGCAGCCTTAACAGAGCAATATCAGTTCCAAAGCAGACACACAACAAACTGAGGGCATGCATGTTAGCATTCTGCAATATTTTATCTATTAGTCAGATGACACAAGAAAATGACACACCTAACTACAGAAACCTCCTAGCTATCACTAGGGTATTATGGTATTTAACTTACAAAAGAAAAGCACAGATTAGTGGGGTTATGAAGCACCACATCATACTAACTACTGGGCTAGGGACATAAATTACACATAAACCAGTTTCAAAATGGCCAGAACTGATTTAAGATATACCTGGTTGAATGTAGTATCAGACTTAACTGATCTGGGTCAAACCAGTTTATGGACCTTCTGTCCTAGACCCCTTCCTGATTTAAGTTAAACCAGAGTTCCACAGCATCCCAGCATGCTCTGCAGCCCTGGGCTTGGCTGTGTTTCTGCTCCAGAGAACAAGGCTGGCCCTGCCCCTCTGCTCTCTAGCCCAGGGTAGGGACGTGGCCAGACACCAGCTGGCATGGTCCCCTGAGGCAAAGGGAGCAGGGAAAGGGTTTATTTCCCCCCTCCCCTCTTCCAACTGGGGGACTGCACCTGAGGTCTACCTGGCCAGGGTGGAAGCAGCCAGTCAGGCATTCACCCCCTTCCTCACTTCAGCAGCAGGGGTGGGGGCATGGCCAGAGCTGGCCGCCAGGGCACTGCTATCTGACCGCCTCACCTGCAGCTGTGAGGCTGGGGCTGTGGGCCTGAGCCAGGCCGGCCCACAGGCACTGCTGAGGGTGGATGCACAAGGGACGGGCCCTTAGTTTGGGCTGCGGGGTATGGGTGGCTGGCCAAGCAGCAGGCTGCCCAGACCAGCTCGGAGGCATTGTCAGGTCTGGAGCCCAGCAGCTGCCTGTTGCGGGGACCCAGAGCCCCCACCACACCACCCCTGCCCTGTGCAGCCCCCGCTGGCTGCAGCCACATCACAGGCTGTGCACTGGCTGGGGCCAGTGGGGCTCTTCTGCCTCTCTCACCTCCTGCTCTCACCTCCAGTGGGTGGAAGCTTTAGCTCTGCAGCTTTTGCCCGCACAGAGCTCGGCTCCAGCTCTGGACGCTTTCCACCCTGCATCCTCCACAGGGGCTGCTCATTGCACTGGGTGGGCAGAAAGCAGCCGGAGCAATAGCACTCCAGGTGGTGATGGTAGCGGGTAGCTTTAGCCCAGTGGCCTCTGCTCAGACCAGGGCTAAAGCTTGGAGTGGCAGGGGCAGGAGTGGAAATGGGAGGGTGAGGAGCCGCTGGAGGTGAGGGGAAGCTGCACGCTGGCTGGGCTTGGCTCCTCTCACCTCCAGCTGTGGCTACTGCTCCTGCCCCACTGTGGGCAGGTGGAAGCTTTAGACCAGTGGCTTCTGCCCAGTGCCTGGAACTTGCTCTAGCTCCGGCTGCCCTCTGCCCACCTGGCGTGATAAGCAGTTCCTGCAGGTGGGGTGAGGGAAAACAGCCAAAGCTGGAGTGGCACAGGTAGCCTCTCTGTGTGGCATGCAGCAGATAAGGGAGGGGGCAGGCATCACAGCAGCAGGCAAGGCAAGAAGAATTCATTTTTTGAACTTCAGATGTTAAAATAACATGGACATCTTTGAAAACAATGTGTAAACAAATATTGTGAACAAACATATTTACAGGCTTTATTTATATAACTAATCTATTAATGGCATACAATTTATACTTCTACTTAAAATAGGATCTACATGTGCATTTCTGATTTTTTTTTGTAGGG